ATACATGGAAATAACGATTTTGCTAAAATATTAATTCAGTTAAAACAAATATAAAAATAATTTTATTGAATCATTAAAATAATAATTATAATTAGGATATTTAAATTGGTTGTTAAAACGTCAAAACTGCTCGTCATAGTTGAGATCCCTCTGTAATTATTTTGATGGTCCAACAAAATTTTTTTTAAATCTAACTAAATTTTGATATTTTAACAAAACTATCCTTTCCGTGTATAAATTATAGATTCTCTACACTGCGCAGGAATTTCATAAATTTAATTGCACAAAACTGTTACTAAAAAGTGAAATTTAATTTCGAAATTATTTCAAATTCATCTAAAATTCATATATAATTAGCTGTGTAATTAACTATGCCCTTTAATATATACAGTTATTATTTTTTAAAAGTATCATTTTTATGTATTTAGAGTTGGAGAGCTATACAATCACGCAACGTATGCGCACCTTGCATAATGCAATGTAGGTGTTATATATGTACATATAACATGCATACATCCAGGCTCGCGAACGGAGGATACGAGCCTTATGTATCGCAACTCGCAATGGGGTATTTCCGCTCGTCAAATAACAAGTTGTATACATTCAGAGCCTAATCACACGTATTATCCAGTATTCTGCGGACCACCTCGTACTTCGACAATCCGAACGAACGTGAAGCGCGTTCGTACCGAGTGATTCAGATGGTATATTCAAGTTTGATAATTATGTCACTTGAGATAACACTTTAATTTATAATATCATTGCGTTTCAACTTGACGATGTGACAGGAATTAAAATAACAAGTTAATTTAAGCATGTCTTATCTTAAAATTAATTCAAAGATTCTATTTAAATTTTACTCGAAATCTAAAGTCTTTCATTATCTAGGACAGAATAAAAGTGTGATATTCTAACATTCTTTACTTTTAAAAAAACATTAATTAATTTTCAGAATTAAATTTCGTCTTATTTATACAGTAAACCCACGTATAGAATAAGTTTTTTTTATCTCTTTAGATCATTCAGTTACTAGTATATAGGTATGCTTCCTGCATGTGCACTCCTCAAATTTTCAATCCGCGCTCGCCAAGGCTCGTCCAAATGATAGACCTGGTCTACAAGAGGAACGACGACAGATCCGGATCGTTATCGATGTCGGGATACATTCATCCATCGATGGATCAACCATCGATAGCCGGCGGAAACGGCGGACCCCCATTCGCACGGGGAATGAGGAGCATCGCGAGAGCGCGTTCGCATACGTGTGTATCGGTGCGCACGATTCACGGGGGGATGTAATAGACGATGTAATCGGCATCCTACGCGTGTAGCACCGTGTGTACATACAACGGATTGTCTAATGCGGGACATGTGTTAGGTGATCGAATTCTGCAGCGCGAATTTCGCGTCGAGGCGCGCTCTTTCCCGCTATTGTACAGGCGGAAATTTAAGGGAGACAATTCTTTGTCGCGGTTTTCAATTGGAATTCGCGCGATGCGCGCGATCGATAAAATTTTAATTCTAATTTTAAAGTCGTCGATCGAGTCGATCGACGAATTAGTAACTGCGTAATAAATAATTATTAAAATAAAATATTTAACACCACTTATTATCGTGCCATTCTAATGTCAAAAATGAGACAAACCATACCATAAATTTGCACGACACTTTTATGAATCTGAACGTCGGAGCGTTTGGAATAAAATTTTAAAGCAGAAAAGTTCGGGTCAAATTACGAAAAAAATTGACACCGACGATTGTGTTTTTTGATGTCTCGCTAAATTTCTGGATGACAGGTAAGACAGTAAACAGCATCATGTAATTCATTTTATCATATAATTTTGTACAAAAAATGCAATACGTAATAATCATATAACATATGTATAATATATAATATGTAACATATGATTATTACTGGCGATACCTACTGACTAAAGATCCTTCACGACTTCCTCTTTGCTTTCATTTGAGTTCTACGATTCTTGCCTAATCTTTGCTTTCCCTTTCCACCTTTTCCTCTTCTGCCTTCTTTCGGTTTCTCTGGTCGTCTATATTCAGAAACATCGGCCGAACTGCTGCTCGTGTTCCATTTGCTACGGCGCTTTTTACCTCCATAACCAAATTTGGCAGCCTTCATTTGCATCTTTAACTGCGCCTTTGAATTTATCTTGCGATTTACATGTGGTTTACCTTGCGGTTTCTTCTTATCATCTAAGAAATCGAGATCCTTCCGTATACCCTTGCGATATTTTTTAACCTCTTCCATCAATTTTCTTTTCTCTGCATGTTTCTTTAGAGTTGCCTCAACTTGCATTTGCTTCGCAACCTTCTTCTGTTGTCTCAATTGTCTTACTTTTTCTGATCTTTGTGTCATTACCTGCTTCTTCATCAATTTTTCTCGTACTTTTTGCATGTGTTCGTCAGATTTAGCCATCTCAGCAAAGTAATCATCCGGTCTAGATATCGATATGCCAAGCTTCTTTAACCTATTAATACCTTCCATAACAGCACCCTGAGCTTGACGGTGAAACATGTTCTCTCTACGAAAGTCATTCAGAACAGGATCCTCAGACGGCTTGTATTGAGGTAACTTTCTATTCCCTTGTAGCTGCTTAGCTCGTCTTACTTCTTGCTCTTGCATTTGAAGTGCCAATTCTGGTGCCAATGGTGCAAGTGCATTGACCATATCCAGCCTCTCGATCCATGGCAAGTCCAGCTTTATTTCATTCAATTTTTGCTTCATGTGATTCTACAATTTGTTTACAGTAAAAGTTAGGTTAAGTTACAATAAAGACTCCAAAATGTACTGTAATTTCTAATAAAAGAATTACTCACGACGAAATTCTTGGATTGCTTGCCACTCGTCTCGACGGCTACATTGAGCCCTGGCTTTAGTAATCCCGTCGCGAAGGCTTCTTGTAACTGGACACGTGAGTTAAATTAGGTTAGATTGTGCATGATATGTGGTAAGCGCACAAGGAAATCGTGATACTCACCTCCTCATCGGACAAATTGTACTCTGAGTCTGATTCTGATGTTTCTGACATTGCGAATAATTTACTATTACCTTTATTTAATTGTGATTAACCGGTAGGACGTACTCCTAAACGATTCGAGAACAACACGCCAACGTCGCCAACGCCATCCTCCATTCCCTCCAACTCCACAGATTTCGAATACTCAACGATACTTCTAGCGACATCTGGTGGAGGAATCTGAAAATTTATTCGTAAGGTAAAATACCAACAATCAACAAAAAAGAGAAAGATATATTATATTTTCTTTTTTTTTAAATAAAATTTTTATCCGTCAAAGACATTGCGATGTAAAAATAGGCGATAAAGAATCATTTTTTACCAAGTTGATATTTGATGCAAAGAAAATTTTCTTCCACAGTCGAAAAATAATTTTTGTTTATCAATAGTTTTAATAATAACGTTTTATCTCGAATCCTGATTATATTAATTAATTCAATCAGCAAAATAAGTTTTCGCAGCAGAAAAATTTTCAATTATACGATTCGTAATACCCGATATTTAATCTTTTTTCACATATTCAACAACAAAGGAATTAATACTTTTTATTTGTGTTAAAATAAGTTAATCAAAGTATTGTCGAAGTCGCGTCGTGTTTTTCTCGCAAACCAGTTTATCAGGAATTAAACTTGCATTACGCGTCTTAATTTCCATTTACGATACAAGTGAGAATAATTTTAAATGGAAACGTTCAGATAAAAAAATAGATAAATTTTATATGTATATACTCTCTTTCGACTTTTATATGTATACTCTCAAGACTTTTGTATGTATACTCTTGGCACACTCTAATGCAGCATATAATACTAAGAAAAACTAGAAACTATACTATTAAAAATGGCTGCAAAACGTTTATTTTGCAACTGTTGAAAGTTTCCTTCCCTGACAAAATGAGATAAGATACTATATTTCTCTAAACCTAAAATTATTAAAAAAAGAAATAAACTAATAAGTATAGCTTTTTGTTGAATCGAAATTCATCAAAGTGTACAATCTAATCAGACATCAACTAAAAGTAACATAACAACAATGTCATAATTTCGCACTCAACAATATAAATGTAATACAACACATATACGTAGTGGTATTATATAAATTACATCGTTGAATGTGAAATTATAACATATTGATATGTTACTTCTAGTTTTGTGTTGACTGGATAACTGCCAATATAAACTAATAAATAAAACTAATATATTCAACTCTTAACAATTAAAATGTAAAAAAAAGGCTATTGGGAATTGGCGCGATATAAGAAATGGACCCTCTTTTGAATATTTTTGGTGTTTTAAAAGTACAATTAATTCAATCAACACGAAAAAAATTTTCGATCAGTTGTAAAATAAACGTTCTGTTGAACGCGGCCAAGGAGAACAAGAAAGTCAAAACAATGTTACATTAACCAAAACATGACAAAATTAATGACATAAATTCTATTAATCGATTAATATAACGTCAATTTGACATTATTTTGACTTTCTTGTTCTCCTTGGAAACAGTTACGACATTGTTGTGTTTTATAAACGCATCCTATAAGCGGAACACAATCGCGCGACATTAAAATAGTTCCAAAACTTAAAAAGTCACTTTACAATCATTTTGATATTATCATAACATATTTTCGACGTTATCGTGACTTGTTCTATTTGAGACAGAATCGCATGTAGAATATTTCGCGTGTAGAAAAAGATGGAAACGAAAAAAAGACGCAAACCTCGCAATGGCTCAAATTCGTAAAGTTGTGCGTTACATACTTTTGCATTCGACTGTATACAGCAACCTTGACAAGTTTCAAATTCAACAGCTACGCGCATTGCGCAAAAAAAAAAGCTAGCGATATAAAAGTATTGACCATACTCTTAATCATTTCGCTAAATACTTGCGATATCAAGACTATTCAAGACTCACCGAGTCATCGAGAGACCTTCGCGAAAAAGACCGCGGCGGTCTTGAGAGACACACCCGTATGCGCGCTCGCGCACCATATTACCCGTGATAAATTCGTATCTACCCCTCATACTCGAGAAAATAAAAGGAACGATAAAGAGAAGATATAAGAGGTCAAGACGAGAAATTGAAGTAAATAATAAAGCGATTACGTTTTAGTTTAGTCTCGCGACGAAGGGGAGATCGATTCCGCTTGATTCCGTAATTGAAATTCTTGCGTTCCCTCCATTTCGTCGTTACGCTTCGGCCGTCCTCGGTTATATGCCGATTGAACGAGAGCGGCGGTGTAGCGGTGTTCGAGTAGCGCAGAGTAGCGGCAGAGTGACGGGCGCCGATTGGCTGACGCAGCTCGCGCCGCCGAGAGACCGGCCAATCACGGCGCGCGCCGCTACGGCCCGTAGGGCGCAACAGTCCACAACAGTCTCCGTGGAAAGCACCGTCTCCTGGGGTGCCTGTCTGACACGCGTTATGTGCTCGATGCCAGGATTTTCGTCGCAGCTGGCCGGATGACAACGACGTAACATCATGGCGGATAACGATAAGAAGCCGATGTCACGTTTAATGAAACTCGCCAATAAGTTCAATTGCTTCTACCTGTCAGGTAAGCGTTACGCGACGTCCTACGTCGCTACGTATTATCCCCGGCGACGCGTCTCCCGGCCGCGTCATCGACGGCAATGAGCGGCGACCGCCGTTCGCGCGGACCGTCAAGAATATCGATCTCGCGCTCGTGTGTATATTTGCCGTTCGCCTTTCGAGGGAAAATAATAGGGCGGAGAAAAAAAAAACGAGGATCCCGACACGAATCATAGGAGCGATTATCGACGGGCGCGCGCCTCCGCCACGTCCCCGTCATCGCGTTTTGCGTCGTCGATGACGGATGACCTATTCCGTGGAATAACTACTCCAAAATCACCTTAAACTTTTTTTTTGTAACGACAGATACGCCTAATCGGCCTAATGCTTGTTTTGAGTACGCTTGTTTAGGGAGATGGTCATGTATTGCGGAAACTTTGATTGTACTTTCTATATACCTAGCTTACTTCTGAGATAAATACAGCTATTTAGTTTACATTTGGAAACTTGTATAAAATATAAATATTTCCTATTCTGATACTCTATTCTCTTTTCCGAACATAATTTTCCAACAGCAATCAATTTTTTTTAATAATAATAAATTTTTATTTTCACATTATATATTGACAAAATTACAATAAATGTAGTAAACAGAAGTTATATTTCTATAAATTACGAAAGAATACATTTATTCCTTAGGTTTACATGCAGGAGAATGCAGAGCTTTTGTTGTCGATGGACAGCAAATCGGACTTGTTCGTCCAGATGTGATGAAAGAAATATTAAATCATCCTCAAGTGAGTTTGTTTTATCCTTTTTTTTATTAATACATTTATATTTTTGTTAAGACATGTATAATATAACATCAATTTTTAAGGTATTTCAAGTACATCCCGAATATGTGCAATTAAATCCAGCCTTTCGGGATTATGCTGAAAGAAGTGCACGCGTCGATGAAGTATTAAGGGAATGGATGGCCGGTGGGAAGTTTGTAACATTACGAGGCTGGAGAGAGGAATGCTATGAAGTGCGTTCACAATTTAATACGCTACCATTGTTTAAGATGGATCGTTCGGCTACATGTAAGTGTAAAAGCCATGATACATAAAAAAGCTTAAGTAATAAATTATAAACAGGCAGGTGAATTGGTTAATCACAATAGAGATGATAAGGCCATAATTTAAGCGGTAGAAAATTCCTTACTATTTAAGTTTTTTTTGTGTGCAATGATTTTAAAAGAAAACGAAATAAATAAATATCATAATTATAGTATTTTATATATGCTTTTTGAAATGACAGGTCTATTTGGAATTCGAAAATACGGAGTGGATATAAACGGCTATGTAATGGATCCTGTCAAGGGCTTGTCAATATGGTTACAAAAGCGTAGTCCGAATAAACAGACATGGCCGGCGTATTGGGATAGTATGGTGAGTGGTGGATTGAGTGTTGGTTATGGTATAAATGAAACCGCGATAAAAGAAGCTGGTGAAGAAGCTGGTATTCCGAATCATCTCATTGCTAAGCTTAAGAGCGCTGGCTGCGTATCGTTCTTCTTTGAAAGTGAGAGGGGTCTGTTTCCCAACACGGAATTTGTATATGATCTTGAACTGCCGCCCGACTTTGTACCGAACAATAGTGATGGAGAAGTAGAGACCTTCGAATTACTCCCCGTTAGTGAATGCTTAGAGAGGATACTTTCCCCACATTTCAAAACCACTTCTGTACCAGTTGCCCTTGACTTCTTAATTAGACACGGATACATTACAGCAGAGAACGGTAAGATAGGCTGATCGCATATAATTCATTCAAAAATTGTTGAATACAACTTATCGAAAGTGCTGTATAATACTAATTTGTTCGTTTGCTTTTGTTGCAGAGCCTAACTTTATACAGATTGTGGAGTTACTTCATGTACCTCTGCAGACTATGTACAATCATCGACACAAAGCTAGTAATAGAATGGCTAATGGTGAAGCGATCGATGCTTTAGAAAAAGTTTAAGTTTCGCTAGGCTTTTAATTTATACTGTGCTAATGGCTATGAATTGAATGAAATGAATGACGTTCCTTTTCTATGTTTCTTCATTGGACAAGTATTGAAAAATCTCATATTACATACAGTCGTACACATGTAAGACGTAAACAGCTTTTTTATAATTGATAAAGATCATAATTTATAAAGAGGACTACATGAATTTATAGATAAAACACACTTCTATTGAGTTGGTCATATTTTCTGCCTTTATTTTAATTGCGTATATTGAATTAACAACGAAAAAAAAAAAACAATACGCTTTATTAACTGCATCAATAGTAACATGTTTATGAGATTTTTATAACAAGTTTTTCTCTTGTCTATATAAGTTTGTGTGATTCATAAAAGAAAAAAGCTACAAGTTTTTATATACAAATCTTTTGTATGACAAAATGAAGTATTAACCAATAACGTTTATACGTGACTCGTCAAAATTTTGAAGATAATTTCTTCCATCTATATGATTTTTTCTTTTTTTTTTCTATAACAGGATAAGTTTTACAAATTATTATGTTATGTTTGAGACATTTTTCAACTTAACCTGCCATTATTTAGCACAATAAAATTATATACCAATTATATTAATATCGTGCTTGTCAACTGAACAGATGCATTGTAATAAAAGCAAGTATCGATTAAATAATGAAATTGACTTATGATAGTCGAAGCAAAAGTATTATGAACGCAGCATTCCAGATAATAAATTTATCGATAAGATTGCGTTTAAGAACTGAAAAGTAACAGTTTTTTTAAATAATTATAATTAATATCTTCATATAACACATTAAATCTTGCAACACACATAGCTTGGAATTATCAATGCGAGAGTCAGCATAACACTAAGATTGCATTTACAGTATTATAAAAATGAGTATATATCGTGTACTTTTTTAATAGATCAAACAAAATTTACAGTCTGATCATGTGCTGACTTTGTGTTCAATTGAATTTTATTATCTCGATCAATTTAGGCACCTTTCTTTACTAGTAATTTTGTAAAGAAGGATTGAAAGCATTTATATTATTTATCGTATGCTAATGTTTTATGAATTTAATTACATGTTAAGTACTTCCGCATTTGAAAATTTAAATACTATTTATATCAATACATCAGTGACTGTACAAGTGAGAAGCACAAAAAACATAATTATAATAATCTTTATTCTTAATGGATAACATTTTTAATGGATTTTATTTTAAATAAGATTAATATTACTCTTTAAGTTCTTTGGAATGGAATCTCTCATCCAAAAGAATGAAAATTTTAAGCCAATCTTGAAAAAAGAATAGTTCAATTTTCAATCTTTTTAAGAGTGAAATGAGATTTCAAAGTGAGATTTACTCTAAAAATTTTAGAGAGTAAATAATTACGTTGTATTATGTTCTCATTGATATTCGAAGATAAATAGATAATGTTTCAATATTATTACATATGAGTATATCATATATTTTAGCTGTATATAATATTTATTTATATCTTTCATCTCTACTTTTACAATGGCAGTTTATCGAGTTGTATATTGCATTTAATATTATATTATCGCTTTATAACGATGAATTGCGAAAATCATCATTGACTATTTGTTATTAACGCCATTCATGTGATATATTTTACATCGTGTTTTTAAAAATTGTTATATATACCTCATAAAAAGAGAGCATACATATATACTTATTCATATAATTGATCTGTTAATATTCGTGTTAAATTCATTATTACAAAACGCATTACATGTATGAGTATAAAATCCAATATCATGTATTTGTTATAAAAATATTAGTTATGGTAAAATATATATTAATCTCTCTCGTAATAAATTATCGCATTTCTGCACAAGAATGATGAGAACATCTGTACCATGCCAAAAATTATAAGTTTATAATTATCTGGAGAATTCTATTCGGGAAATGTATATCGGTTTCAGACATTAAAAATTTTTTATAAAATATAAAATATTCTGTAAAATAACTGAAGTAGTGTAATGTTTGAATTTTTTCGAGAATATAATTTTTCGTAATATATCTCTTGCATATATGCCAATGAATTGACATTGCGATAATTATAGAATTGTTAGTTTAACATGTTTTTGCAGTCAAATCTTATAAGAACTAACCAAACTGCGCGTTGTAGATTTTATAAGTTTAATACTTTTGTAATGATGATAATGTAACAATATACTAGTCACGCTCATCTTTATCACTCTCTTTCTCTTTCTCTCTCTCTCTCTCTCTCTCTCTCTCTCTCTCTCTCTCTCTCTCTCTCTCTCTCTTATAACATTAATCTGGTCACCAGACACAATATTTGTGATACATTTACCTTAAGTGAGATTTTGTTTCCTACTATGATTCAGTTTTGTGATAGGGATGGATAGGACTGGTTATATGTTTATTGCATGAATAAAATAGTATTACATTACATGGCCGAACATGCTAATCTATTATTTAACTCCGATGCAGTAATAAGGAATTGCGCGTTTAAGACGGAAGTGTTTGTACGCCGATTAACAATGAAACTGGTTTAACTACAGATTGTTATGTGAAGAGATTTTACAAGATTTATGTTGTTTTTCATACATGGACTACTATTGTAACTATGAGTGACTGTCGTATGCGATCACATAACACTTAATCAGCTTGTGCGTTCTTAGCTTTTACTCTTCGTTGCAGCCTAAGTATGTATCAATTGTAAGAAAGAGCATCCAAAAAATTTGCGAGCCGCCTATTTTTTCGCATTTAATGTGATTAAATTAATGAGCACGCAACACGGCTCGCGACCTGATTAAATGATGCCGCTGTTTGAATCGTATAAAATACAAAGCTTCTTCGCAATAGGCACGACCGATTAATGACACGAGTTAAACAAAAAGTGCAGAGTCTGATAAATCTTCCGAAGTAATATAAACATTTCTGTGAAAGATTTAATATTCGATTCTAAATTTTGATAAAATTATTTTTAATTCCAAAAAATAAAACAATTTAAGGAGATCAATAATTTATATCAACATTTTCCTAAATATATATTTTAATATTTATTTTTAAAATAATTATTTCCATGGCCGTTTAAAGAGAAAAGGATAATAAAACATAATAAATTGTTATTCCTTTGAGAAATGTTATCTTGAATTAAAGAAACACTTTGACATATTTATTACATGTGCCGGTTTTAATATCCTGAAAGGATAATCGTGCATATTTATTACTAATGAAATTATTATCCTGATACGAACAAATATTTTTTAGAATACAAAAAAGATTTGTTATATTTGAGGTAAAATATAATTTACTTCTGCATATTTTCGGGAGATTATTGCAAACTCCATATGAGGTTTTAATCAACTCTGACTGTATATGTTGTTATTCTATGCTCCCGTATTTTGCAAAAGTTGTATAAAGTTGCGGATTGCTATGCTCAATCTGTTTAGTAAAAATCTTAATAATATCGATTGCATCGAAGATGTAGCTAAAAATGTAAGAAGTGTGTAGTTCTAGAATCAGATGATTGTACTTACATAAACAATGAGAAATATTTGGACTGGCTTTTTATTACATTGTGATTCTTATTGCTTATTGTTGCTACATTAATTTCATTATTCTAGCGTGCAAAATCCGGTTGTAGTTATTTTTTCTTCATCAAGATTATTTCTGTCCGTAAGCGAAGATGTGGGTACGTCGCGATATGTATATTTTGCTATTCACTATGTTTAACTGACGATAGTATAACGTAACCACATGTATCGACAACACGTTTGTGATAATAAAATAACATTTGTAATTGAATATTATGATAAACGTGATATTCTAAACATCGCGCACTCTTTTCGGTCGTATTGCTTGAATTTTAATACGAGACCAAATATGTACATACGTGATATTTTCAAATATCATTCAGTTTAATTATTTATGTACTTAATTGCATTATTTGGAATTATTGTTAAACTCAGGCTCTTAAACATATAAAGCATGTGGAAAACGCAAATGAATCAATGACTAGAAAGTTAAGCGGTTGATATTCATTCTTGAGAACAATGTAAATGAAACTATCGTAGTTATCGATTGTTTCTATTTAAAGATTTAGCTATAAATACATATGCGTCGAATATTCGCTAACATTTTCGCGTTCAATAAAAATAAACGAGTGTCTGACGGCGCCGGTATCTTTAACATTCCCGATCTTTCATTCGACAAATAACCAAATTGACCCCAGTTCCTTGAGCCAATGACATAATTCAAGCATCTAAACGATTTCGATTGATACGCTTATTCGCTTCTTGCCGTAAACTCAATTTCTATCTACTATTTATTGTGTACTGGTATTACGGATTCATTCATAAATAATTAATTAAATAATTCGCTTCGGTCTTACTTCTTTGATTCAAATTATTTAAATAATTTCTACATGGATTTTGTTCGACTCTATAATCTCTTTTTTATTACTTAAAAGTACGAAAATTTTCCATAAAATATTTTAATTGTTTTTTAACTGACAATTTTTTTTTCTGTTTAAATATTTTATTTAAATTAATCTTAGTGTTTTAATTGCACTGAAATATATATACACTAAAAAAAAAAGATGTTATATTACATATAATAGCATTATTTTAATTGAAAATATTTTGTTAATTTAATAATAGTATTAATGAAACAAATAAAATTTTATCAGAACAAGATCATGGCGTATTTGTTTTATTAATATAATATTATTTATGTGTGTGTTGTGTTCCACACGTAGCACAGCAGTGACTATAATGCGCTAAAAAAGCGCTTGTGCAGGTGCATAATTCTAACAGTTTTTAGCGCTTTAAAAGCGCTTTCAAAATCCACTATGAAAAGCGCATTATAAGCGTATACAATCAGCGCAGAATAAATCCAGTTTTATAGCACGTTTACAGCATTTTTCATGTAGCACGTGTCACACAACAGTGCCTGCAAAACGTTCAGAAAGTGATGTAAACGCGCATTCAATCAGCGCAGGATAAATGCTTTTTACGCGCATAATCATTTTTTGATCAGTGTAACTTGAAATCTGCCGTTATTCACATGTAATGAAAGTGCATAACCGACAGCAGTTTTGGGAGATACAGTCACAAGAACGCGGTCCCAGAGTGCTTTGCACGCGCTGTTGTGCTACGTAGGATGTGTGTGTGTGTGTGTGTGTGTGTGTGTGTGTTTGAATTGACAAAGTTATTTTTAATTAAAATAATGCTGTTGACATAACATTTTTTTTAATGTACGTGATATATTGCTCGCAATAATTTTTATTATACCAATTTCGATATTGTGAATAATTTATTTATAAACAATCTATATATAATTTCTATTAGATGCCAAGATTAGACGTTTTTTTATAATTTTATGTAATTTTGATTTATGTATATAATTTATTTATATAGATATGTGTCAATGTTGTTCTGATTTTTTAAATATTTTATTTTGAAGCACATAAGATTAACACATAAAAAATTTGTTACAAATTAAAATCACCTAAAATGTAGATTCAGTAAAATAGATAATTAAAATATTTTGATGAACTGAATTTTTCAAAAATATGAATGAATAATTAAATCTTGTTTTTTTTTTAATCTAATAGAATTCCAATTTTCAAGAAAATTAGGATAAAAATTTAAGAAATCGTAAAGAATTATATTTCGAAAAATTTTTGAAAAGAAAAAATATCTTTTTAACGAGAAATATATTTACGAGATAACAGTTTGATATGTCGCTGAACAAAGATTACATTTAAATGATGAATTATACATAATGACAAATATACATTATTTTAAAGGCTGCGTATATGTTTGTTATCGCTACTATCATAATATTCCTATCATACTCCGTTATATAACAACTTACGATAGTGATTTTTGATTGTGTCATATTCGATAAATGAGCGGGAAACAAAATCATGGATTGTGAAAATAAGGACGCTCGATTCGATACTTTGTGAGAGGCACGTGCGATCGTGAACCATACGGTTGTCGTATCATAAATCAACGTGTTAACGGGGTTTGTTGCGTTTCTCTTGAGATTTATTTTGGTATTTATATCGATAACCTTACGATGATAGCCTCTGTGTTCATGTCGCACCCTTTCGCGATTCTCTTCCACGTGCCTGTTTACACGATTCATGTGCCGTCCGTGTAGCTTAATCTCGCGATCGGCAATATTAATCCTTGTCAGCAAGAGTTCGAAGATTTGTTGTTCGATCGCGGTTAACATTCCTTTAGTTTTAATGCAATTTAACAGTACCAAGATATTTTTTTACATAGCCACAAACAGAAAATATTTTATGTAAAGCATGCAATTATTAATTATAATATAATAACTTATAATTATTAACATTAATTTACGTCTCCTACTGGATTACCATTAGGAAATATTATAGAGAATGAATGGTGAATCATATTATGATCAAATAATAATGGAAAACGATAAAAAAAGATAATACAATCAAAAATTACAAGAATATAGGAAGTTTTATGTTTATAATAATATGAAAGTAATATTCTTCCATAATATATGAAAGATTTAGTAATGAAATCGCATTCCACAACATTAAACTTTTATTGTACTGTATGATTTACAACCATGGTACACAATCAAGTTGTAAACTTTAAAATTCTACAATTCATTTTTTATCTTTGAATTTTTTATATTTTCTTGAATCTTTAAATACACGTACGCTATATTTTAAAATATTTCTTTTATGACTAACTTTAAACTTTGATTGCCTCAATTTTTTTTTTGTTTATTTTCGTTGTGAATTATATATCGCAGTATTTGTTAAAGTAATATTAGCATATAAATAAATTTTTTTTATCCGAAGATTAGGCCATTAAATATTTTTATATATTTTGACTCTGAAACCGAATTTGATATTTAAATTGCTTTATTATATCACAATGTTTTTTATCGATTGAAAATATCTCGATTTTCAGTATTCTTTAACCTGTCAGCTTAATATTAATTTTATAAGCTTGCATATTATCGTATAAACTGACTTCCTTCTTTATTTCAGCATGTATACATTTAAGTAGGTAGACTATAAATGACTTCAAAAACATTGGAAATTAGAGCTATTTCTCGTTGATACAAAGTTATGACGTGATAAAATGGAGCAATTTGGTTATCGGATTTAATTTTAGAGCATCAAAATGTATAAGAATAGTCTATTTATTTTTGTGTGCTTGTGTAACCATTTCATGATAATCATGGCATCGATCGTCAAATTGATTTGCGAGGAGGCACCGCGCGCGTATTCGGCCTACAATCTATATCAAGAATACCATGAGATTTCGCGCATATGCTAACAGATGCATCTCGTTTATCGGATAGCCGCAAAACGAGTGCAACGCAGAATGGAACGGAGTGCGAATAACGACGATGAAACGACTGCTTAGTGATGCTTGACCCATTTAAACAAAATTCATCTCTTTCAGGTTCGTTGTTGAGTACTCCTAAGACAATAAATACGACAAAGATAGGAACATTTCGAAGCTAACATACGAATTCATGACAGAACATCATTTTTTTTCAGTGATATTCCTATAATTAAAACAATGGGCCCGGTGATAGAAAACTTCTCTCGCATCTGGTTACATTGCAAAAAACATAAATGTAATTTTATATTATGTGTCACATACGTGTCATAGAGTAACTTGACACAATAGTCACATGTTTTATACAAGATTTGCTATAAATTCATAAAATCAATAACATGTATAATAAGATTTCTTATACGGAATTTTGAAACAATCTCAGAAATTGAATTAACAAGGCATTCTTTTTTTTTCACTTCTGTAGTTATTAAATTTAGAAAATTAAACGTGTTTGGCACATTAAATTACAAGAGTACATTTTAAAATTACTGAAAATTAGCAAAAAGGTGAAGATATCATTACCGCTATATTCCAGAAATCTGGTACGGCTTGAAATGCTCCAATTTTTAATATTAAATAACTTTATAATACAACCTCGAACATTTTATATTTGATTTTATATATGATTGTACTAAGTATTAATTAAATTAGATAACTTAAATGTCTAATTTAATTAAAAGCAAGTTTTGCAAACAGTGTCAGAAGTATTCCGTATTAATAATACAATTATAGAATATCGATCGGAGTATATCAAGCATTTCTTATATACATTTTTTAATACCGAATACGTTTAAAATTTCAAGTTTTTCGTGGTTATGGCTGAATCCGGTGTACTGACATAATTCAGATATAAAATGCAATCGAGTTACATTTAAGCTCTGCACGTATAAAGAGTCGTGTTATTAAACGGTATAATAACTCTCTCTGTCAAAAATTGCGCTCACTTGTACATCATATTTTACCTTCCTGCTATTTTATTCAAAAATTATTAACTTTATTCAAAAACTCCGTGATAAACAATTGTACGATTAAACTGCGATTTCCTGAACTTTGCGATTACATTTAGATACAGTTCAACTAAAATCAAAATAACGGTACGAAGAGTGTTCATTATCGATGATAGTTCGACTGTATCTCGACGCGGTATCGCGAGCAACGTGAAGTGCGCTCTGTATCGTGAAGAGTGCGGGCGTGAAAAAGTAGAGCCGTGATCTTCGCCCGCGAGTCGACCGTCTCCTAAACGGTCTCCCCGCTGCCCGACGACGTCTACAGCGGCAAGGAACAACTTTGACCACGGTGGAAACAAGAAGAGAATTCCGGAGGACGTTGGACCAAGGGAGACAGCACGTCCACCACCGCGTGTGCGGCAGTGGGGATCAGAAGAGGGAGAGAAAGGGAGAGTGGGAGAGAGATAATCGACGCGGGTGAGGAATCTGATAGAGCGAGACGGCGGATCAAAGAATCCGAAGGAGGGAGAGAACGTGCCGATCCGCGGCGCGAGGTGGGAGAGACCGCGAGATCGCGTCGGCGAAATACAAAGAGAGGGAGAGAGAGAGAATGAGTGACGGCGATAGAGGGAGCGAATAGGAAGAGGGGGAAAGACGAACTCTCCTCCTGGTGGAGAGAGAATCCAACGTGGAGAAAGAGGAAGTCGGGCCGCGAACGCGGGACGAGGAGAGCGAGTGGCGAGAGAGAAAGAGCCGGACCCGCGGCGTGTGAGGAGAGGGAAAACCACGGGGGCTTTTGAAAAAGTTTTATCTTGTCGGTGCGCACGGCCTCTCAGACGCTACCGAACGCCGGTACGGTGTTGTTGGGCCACGTCGCGGCCTCCTCGGCGACGAATTTCTAGGAAAGAGAACGAACGGAGAGAGAAAGGAAGGAAGAAAGAGAGAAAAGGCAGAAAATCCCTTTCGTCGTGCGCTTCGCGATTTCCGGTCCCGGTCCCGGTCCCGGTCGGTCCTACCGTCAACTTCCGTCCATCTCGTCCGCCCGCGCGCCCGCGGACGTTCGCGCGAGAGAATCCCGCGAGGACCGCCGAGAAGGAGGCTCGCGACGTACATCATCCGCAGGATAAGAGGGCAAATTTCTTCTGCGTGTCCTTGGAGGAATTGTTCTTCTTTCGCCCGTCTCGCCATGTGCCAACGTCGCTGAGGTGTCCCGCAGTGCCGATCGAGAGAAAGAGCGAGCGAGAGAGAAAGAGAAAGAGGGACGAATACGGCGAGGTAAGAAGAGGGAGAGAGAGAGAGAGAGAAAGAGGGTCAGTCAGGAAGAGGGCGAAGAGGTCGAGAAGTGACTCCTTGCCGGTCGCGACAGACGGCCAGCGGCGAGATGAAGAACCGTGTGTTGCTAAAGAGTGCATTGCTCCTGTTGCTGATCGCGGCGGATGGCCTGGTGACAGCATTAGAGGTAAGTTTTTTTAGTATAAGCCTGGATCTCTTGATCCCCAATCCGTTGAAATTACCGGTAGTCTCGTGGAATTTCACCTCGGGGCGAATGGTGCTCTGAAACCGCATTTAGGAGCGTAATATTGCTCCGAGGACGCATTTAGGAGCACGCGCTGCTCAGAAACGCGTTTCAATTCGATTCAGTTACGTGAGCCTTCTTTCGAACAATTTTACGCGTACATTTGTACTGAACGATGATATGATTAAAGATATGAGACATTTTAATTGACATTCCGCGTCTGTTTAATTGACGGCAAATAATTCTACGAACGTAGCTTCCCAGACGAAAAGCGTGTTCAAGGCCGATATTCAAAGTCAGTTCTTGTATTTATAAGACCTTAACAGTTTTAAGATGTTATAAACTAATCACAGAGCCATATTAGTTACCACTTAGTTACCACATTACTTAAGATAACTTGAAATAAGTGCTTACTTGAAATAAGTATGAACTATAAATACTGGCTTAAAAGACGTCATAAAGACGTTTCTCTTGGAACATACGTCTGTATTTATAATTGTAGATCGATCCATGATTGACCCTCATTTCAGCGCGCTAGGATTTATCAAATTGTGATTTAAGAAGCGCTCTTCAAATGAAAGACTGATTTAAACCTAGTTCTAATCTCAGGTTGAATCACGATTATGAATACGATTTTATTTAAAAGACATTATGAAGCGGTCTTCTAGACTAGGTGTTGTTTGGGTTATCACTGATCTTTCAAACAGCGTTGTTGAAAGAAAACTATAGTATAGCTAATATTTCGCTTCATCGTGTGTTCATTCTTAAATGTGTACGGACTCACACAATATAGATCATTCCAGCAATGTTGCAGTAACATTATGACATTTCAGTAATATATTAGTAACGTTGCAAACTTCTGTGTATGAAGTATTTATTCTTAAAATTATTTGCAATATTGAGATTAAAATTGAAGAATATATGATACCAGGTTCTGCTATGACCCGGCGATATTCGCGAAATTTATCAGCATTTCGGAAACTCCCTGTGCGACACACCGCGATTAGATAGTCCGTGTGGTTCAATCACCGCGATTATACCTGTTATGTGTCTCACTTACGTTTGCTGATAAAGATCGCCGCATACCTCGCGGTGAAGTCACGCTTATCGCTCTCGTAAATCGTCGCGATGGATTCGTACGTATGGAGTGCGGTTATAAATGATCTCTCACCTCTTCTTAAAGATACCGAAGGTACTCTCCTTTTTGGATTGTATATCATAACTCTGACACGATCCTCCGTTTGTGTAATGGAATGTTTGGCATACGATCCGAACAAGGCAGCATTTCACTGTGCTCCAGCTGTGCCATGCTTCACTTGCGCTTTTGACGATTGAAAAGTTGACATAAAAGCCAATCGAAGTAAAACGACGGTTGAGGAAAATCGATTAATTATTCACACGTATCGCTTGCACCAACGTTATCGTGAGTTCATTTAGCTACCAGTTGTATTGATACAATCATTATGATCTTAATATATCTAAAATTCAGACCTCTGCTGCTTAATCTTCACGAGACGTTATCTGAACTTTCTGATTTTTAAAGTAACGATCGTTTATACTTTCTGTATCTATTAAATTATAACATATTAAAATAAACAATAAATTACACATTTTTAAAATAAAAAATCGGTATAGATTGAATTATGCGGTGTTTATATTTTCATCATGTTGGTGTTAATATCAACACTTTCATAATGCGGATTTTAAATCTCTAGTGTTTATATCAATCAGGTGTGGATTTAAAATACCTGCTGTTAAAATCTCATTGTTTTGGTATTAATATGAACATTAACACGATGAGAATTATATAGACACACATCCATGGTGTTAAATTCTCATCTCACAGATATTTTTCAGAATGCAAGAGTAACTATCTATAATGATTGCAAACATTATACAGTGAAACAAAATTTCTCTATTGCATAAATTGAATCTGTGGAATAGCATTTCAAATGTGAGAATAGATTCGAACCCCCTTCTTCATCGAATTGTAAATAAATTCCATAATTCTTGATGTTTGACTACTCTTATTCCGTTTCTCTTGCGTGAAATGAAAGACGCGCCGACTCGCTGCGTCGCGCAAAGAAATCCTTCAATTTAACAATGATCAACAGGTACGGGAAAAGAGGACCAGTGGATCGCGGAAATATGCCGTTGAACCATCAAAGGTGTCTCGTGGGCTCGGAAAATACGGATTTAATTGTTATGCACAACGCCGCCGGACTTGTTTGACAACCCAGCAATGAGACGCTCCGGGGTAATTCGCGCGAATCGATTATATTCCGATCACACCTCAAACTCCGTAGAAGCGGATACGAGCACAAGTCGAACTCGTGTCGCGGCGAACTCCGATCGTTTCTGGAACCCGCCAATCCAGCGAAATATCATTCCGTGAAGCACGGATTTCCGCCGAAACGACACTTCGCCGGTGGCCTGATATGAGAATCCTTCTTCATCAGCTTCTTCGCAATTTCGATCGTGCGTTCTTTTTTTATGCATTTATAAGAATGCATGAACAATAACTCCATTCTCAATCTTCAAATTCTGGCTAAATATTAACTGTTTTATCGTTTCATTTAGTTGAAAAATCGCGTTTTTCACTCTTTGTGAGGTATTTTATATTTCTGTAGAAAAAAGGTATCTTAAATTTAATGGAAAATGTGATTTTCCAATAAAAAAGATTTTATATAGGTATATGTATACATACACACACACATATATATATATA